AATAAAAAAGCTAGGATAATATACGACACCATGAGAATAATTCATCCAAATTCTAGATTTGGTTCTTGTTGAATTAAAAGAGTATCTCTTTTCCCTTATGTGCTTTATTATTCTATTTTTACACATTGAGGATAATGTGTCACTTAAGTTTGAGGGAGAGAAAATTTAAGCCAAATTTTTTCAAAATCTTTTTAAAATTTTAGTTTTTAAGCATAAATTATCATGCTTAGAATTAGTATATTGTTTTCTTTATTTATTTTCTCATAATCCAATGATAGAAGTTTGATTGACTTTGATTATAGCTTTTAAGAAAAGAATGAATGTAGTGAGAGCATGAGATGATTTCTGAAAATTTTTTTTTATTGTGATATTTCCAACTTTTTAGCATCTAGTCTTAATCATGGAAATGTATGCATGTTTAATTAAGGTTTATGTAGATATGTGATTGCATTGAAATTTAAAATTATATTCTTATTTTAAAATTTATTTAAGCATCTCTTAAGGTGAAATCATAAGCTATACTTAATTAGGAAGATGATTTAGGCAATTTTTGGACCGTTTGAGCCTTTCAAGCTAACCTTATAAGTTTATCCAAAGTCACCCTTTTAAGCCTATTATATATCATTTTTTTTTAACCTACATGAATTAGCTATCTTTTGATTTATTATCTTTACTTTTTTTACCTTACCCTATGTTCATATGAATCAATCAAATCAATATGAGAGCTATGTTTAATTGGGAATAAAAGGTGGAGCTTGAAAAAAAAAAGAAAGTAGTGTGCAAATTCTATTTGAGCAAAAGAAAAGCTAAAAACAACTTTCAATTAAAGAAAAACAGAATTCACCAAAGTGAAAAGAAAAAGAAATTCTATTTGAAAGCTTGATACAATTTTGTTTGAAAAGGAATAAAGGAAAAGATTGAAAGGTGCAAAAGATGAAAAAGATGAAAGCTACAAAGAAGGAATAATCTAAGTTTGAGAGTGTTATAATTCTTGAAAGCTCTATCATTAAAGAAAATGATCCTAACTAATGCATGAATAAGGGTTATGAGCCTAAATTTTCCTTTATCATACCTTAACCCTAGCCTGATATTACAAACTAAATAAAAACCTATTGATATTTGGTTAAATATGGCTACATTAGCAGAGAAAGTATGTGAAAAGCAAACTTATGAAATTTGGGTATGCTTTTAAGATTTTGTATTAATTTCATGTTTGCATAATTTTATTTGAATGTGTTACATTAAGATGAGACAGATTATATGCACATAGAAATTGTAATTGGACAGGAGTTTATTCTTAAATGATTCTTGTGTTCAAATTATTCCTATGATTTTCTTTAAGTTATATTCATTATACAACTTTTGAAGAACTTATGAGAATTTGATTATTGAAAATTTATACGATTGATGTAAACAAGTATACTATGATCTAGCCTAGTTTTATGTTGCTTAAGGACAAGCAAAAGTTCAAGTTTTGGGGTTTGATAACTATAAAAAAATTTAGTTATTTTCAGTGCTTAATTTTATGAATTTTGCTTAGTTCTTGGTAAAATAATTTAATTTCCCTCCTTAATTTGCTTAATATATGCATGTGTAGGAAAATTTTTGAAATAATGGAAAAAGATGAATTTTGAGGCAATTTGGTTAGATTTTAAAGTTAAAATGCATAGGATATCACAAGATTGATTGGGAGAAACAAAATAGTATTAAAATTTTGTTTTAACCTAAGAGACCAAAATCAATAAGAACTTTCCAAGAAATCATCTTTCATTCAAAAACTCTACTCCAAATTGAAGAAACATTCTGCTCTCTATCAAGATTGCAACCTTTAGGATTCTCTATTTATAAATAGCTATATTTTGATTATGAACAGAATATATAGTGGTTAGGGTAACAGACCAACCTATCTTTAATGTTCTTTAGCTTTTTTGTTCTTCTAGGTTTTTTAGGTTTTCCAAATTCTTTAAATTTTCTTTAAATAGTTTTGATTCTCGCACTTTTACTTTCTTACAATTTAATTTTCAAGTTTGTTTTAATTTCTATTCAAGCTCTTTTAATTTGTGTTTATGCATTTTAAGTTTTGTTTGAATTTCAGTTTAATCTAAATTGTTTTAGAATTGCAATTTAATGTTCTTTAATAGTTTCGGTTTAAATTAAGTTTCTTGCATTATAGTTCTTTGATAGTTTCAATAATTTTTAGTTCATTGTTTTAGGTTTAATATTACTGTATTAATTCTTGTTTTAGCTACTACATATCTTAGAATTAATTTAGGGTTGTTCAATTTTATTGTTTTGCACTATAGTTAATTCGTATTCACTATTTTAGCTATCGCATTAATTTTTCTGCACTGTTTAGTTTTTTTTATATAATTTAGGTTTAATTTTCTATTTTAACACTTTTAAAAATTATTATGCACTTGAATTATAGCTATTGCATTAGTTTACTTAAACAATATTGCATTACATTTAAGTTATTTAATTTTGATTTAGTTTGTTTATTTTGGTTTTGCATATTAGTTTAGTAATTATTTTAATTTTCGGTTTGCTAAATATAGTTAAAATGTTCAATTTTGGTACTTAGCTCTCTCTACTTACGATCTTCGTGAGAACGAATCTTATTTATTCAATATTACTTGACATGATTCTATGTATTTACAAATATTTAATCAGAGGTAAATTAATTGATACCACATTATTAATGATAAGTTTTTTTAAAAGATATTAATTTTTTATATATCTATTTTAAGGGTTGATATTTGTTAATTAATATAATGATATAATTTATTTTATTAACGGTGTATAAAATTTATATACTGACAATGCATTATATAGAATTTCTTAATCAATTGTTTACAAAAATGTGAGAATTATGAAATAAAATATCACAGTAAAAATATTTTTAGAATAATATAAAAAAGGCAAAAGCATCAATCATAAGAAATAGAAAGAAGCAAAATGTCAAATATGTTTAAAGATTCGGTTTGAAACATGCAATTCTGTAAGTGGAATTTATGAAAAACTTGTGTTACTGCATGTAAAAGGGGAAAGAAATATATTGTTTTTAGTTGCAAGAAAAAAAATAAACATGAAAAATAAATAAATTTCCTAGTCTTTAAAATATGAATGTGAATATCAAAGTTAATATCAAAATCCATTTCGCATGAGCTCAATTTTTTATATCAATAAATTATAGAATGATAAAATTAAATATTATAATATGATTATCATGAATTGATATTTAAGATCTAAATGCATTTTTTTATCTTAGTAGGTACAAAAAGAATTTTTGTAAGTTTATATAAAAAAAATAATAATAATGGGATATCAAACTTTATTTAAACTATATTTGATTCATCCTTCATATCTAGAGTTATGTAAAAATAATAGAACATAAACTTAATAATCATTATAAGCTAATTCATAAGTCATGACATCATTTAATTTAATTTTTTTTATCATTGAATTATTATAATTTTTTTAATTCAATATTTAAAATTAAAAAAATTCCACATACATTAAACTATATTACTAATTAACCATTTTAACTTTTCAACGATTTATCAAAACAATAGTTTTTTAATTTATAAATTATTAGTAATTTTATAAAAAATATTAATTTTCAAATTTTCAAAATAAATATAAATCTTAATATCCATCTAACAGTAATTTATTATAAAATCAACATAAAAATTACGTATATAAAACCTAAGACTCAAAAAACCTTGTAATGAAATAATTTTTTAATTGAACAATTATTATCAAACTTGAAGAAAATATGCAATATAAAACTCCTAAAAAAAAAATCAAATTCCATTGCAACAAACTAAAAAATTTAGTACCCATCTTACCTCATTTACTAAAAAAATATTATAAAAATTATACTTATAAAATTTAAAATAACCGGAGGGATTTGACTCGATTGGATTACTTAAAATTGATTTTTTTTTTTTAAATCAGATTTCAAGCCGAATCAAGTAACAATAAAAAAATTTGAGATAGGATAAAGGTAAGATTTTAGGTAAATATGATTTGATTTGACCTGATATGACATATATTTATAAAAAATTATTTTTAATTTTTATTTATATATATTTATATTTATTTAAATTTATATTTATATTTAAAAATAATATTTTATTAATTTTGAATCGAATCTAGTTGAGTACGATTTTATATAATATCGGATTAAATCGAATTCAAATATAAAATAATTTTAAAAATTAAATCAGATCGAATTCAAATATTATAAATATAAAATCAAATCAGATTCGAGATAAGTAAAAACCTACCTGCACTCGACATCCTTATGTCTAACAGTTTGACCAACAAACTTCACTCAGTATAAACACCAACCGAAAAACTTTAAATTAAAACCAATATAATTAATTACAAATTACAATTCACAAATACACCTAATAAAGCATCAAAAATTAAACACACTTTATGATAAAAATTGTTGCTAAGTATCATTTAAAAATAGCAGTTTAGTGAATTGTAATATATAATTCTAACTATAAATAAAAGTAAAATTATTACTATTATTAAATAAAATATTAAAAAATTATCCGTAAATGTCATTAAATATTGATTATTGAATATTTGAAAGAATTTGACGATGTGTCAATTGAATCCAATATAATTAAGACTACATGACCTAAATTAAGCCATCGTAATTGGAAAATGCTACAGTATCGATGTAGCTAACTTTTAATGTAAGTTCTTGATTATTGATTTGTACTACTACCATTTTTTTTTTTTTCAAAACGACAGAAGTTCTTTTGCACGTGGGAATAGTTCTTTTGCACGTGCTGAGTTTCACAGATAATTTTTAAGTCAAATATAAGGTAATTTATGGCTTCGTATTATATAAAATATGAATAATTTATATATTTATATTATATTTTATATAAAATTATATATTGTTATTTATATATAAATATTAAATATGTATTTTTAATTTTATTAAAATTTAAAATTTTATTATTTTTATATCTTTTATTTATTTCATTTTTCGTCAATCATGCTTTAAATCGTTAAAGATTACCTAAATCCCTCGAATAAATTAATACAAGAAGAGAAACATTTAAAAAAGAAAAATATAATAATTTCTATTTTTAATTCCCCATATTTTCTATCTTTCGTCAGCATCTTCATCCTCCTTCCATTGCAGACGAAAAAGCTTTAGCCTTTAGGTTTTGATAATTAAAAAATATAAGAGGACAAATATTTTATTTAATATAATTGACTGGGTTGGGGCGATGGAAGGAGCGAGCAATGGGGGCATGTTGTACCACGAGGTACAAGAGTCGAAGCTATGCGCTGTCCATTGCGTCAACACGGTGTTACAAGGACCTTTCTTCTCCGAATTGGATTTCGCGGCGTTAGCCTCAGATCTTGACACCAAGGAGCGCCAAATGATGCTCGAAGGCACTGCTGCCGCCGCCTCCGCTGGCGATTTCCTCTCCGAGGAATCCCACAATGTCTCCCTTGGCGGCGATTTTAGTATCCAGGTTCCTTTTTTCTCTTTTTCTCCTTACTTTGCTCTTGTTGCCAAGATTGGATGGTAGGTAAGAATAAATCGAGAATTAAGTGTACCAGTTGGTTCTTTTGTTGAAAATATTAAAGCTCGTAGTTGCTGATAATGTTGAAAGATCAAATAAGAAAAGAAATGGAAATTTGGGGCTTTACCCTTTTCATGTTTTTTATGTCTAAGATTTAAAAAGATGAGCTTTTTGTCAAATAATAACAATTAGAGTTGAACGTTTAGTTCTTTGGAGTTTGAGTGATTACGATTAGCAGTTTGGCGACAGAATTGTTAGATTAAGACATGGATACTTTGAATGTTTCGATCAGTTTGCTTGTGATTTAGTTCCATACAGTTGCTATGGTATTGAGATTTTACTTTTTTGACTTGGAAATTATGATTGTTTGGATAAGTTAAAACCCGAACTGCCTATGTGTTTTTGATGTATTGAAGTAGCTAATTTTGTCTTAATTTTCTACTTGAGTCCAGTTAGTTAAACAAAGCACCCAAAGAAATGGGAATCATGTTACAATTTATATGGTACTATACTACTATCTGTTTCACTTGGAATTCATCTGTATCTTCATTGCATTCATTGCAGACTGAGTTAATTGTGTTAATATGCGTGATCCAGTTGGTTTTGGATCATATCGTATTAGCCAACCTGCCTTAAACGCGCATAAGTGGAGAGAGTACAATTCATGTTGTGAAATACTGGAAAATCTATATGTATAGGCAAGACGTATTTTCATCTTCAGTTCGTTCATTATAGAATGCATTTATTATGCGGATATAAATGGTGCAACTGCTAATCAAAATATTAGCCTCGCAAGTCTGGCTTTTCCATATAAGGAAGCTTACTCCTGCAAAACGCTTTCATTCTAGTGTTCTTTGTAGTTGACGTAGATAGCAACATGTCAACTCCCAAAAGAGGGTGTGTGCATGCGTGTAAACTGGGGATAAGACATTGAGTGATAGACAGCAAGATATTCAATATCCAAATGCTTAAATACGCTTATCCAGAAAAAAAAATTAGCATACTTTGGGGTATAATCTAAAGGAAAAGAATTTCTTTTTCACAGTGAAATGCATGAGAATCTTGACGTAGATTATTTTTGGCACATAAGAATCCTATTGTCATAACAATGGTGTGGTTGGGGCAATTATCAAGAAGTAATGTAGGAAAAGGCATTCATCTTGAAATTTCTTTATGGTAATTTCCCTCTATGATATCTTCAATCTTAGTTGGTCATTGGCATCTACGGTTGGTTTTTACATGTAAATACCATATGTCTTGTATATCTCCTATGAGATAAAGTAAAAGAATTCAGTTGATACTGTCAAAACTTTGCAGCTCCATAGGCCTTAAACATGCTTCCTAATATGTGAATATATGATGAAGTCTTAGGACTTAGGAGCCATTCATAGGTATCTTGAAAATAGAATTAGCATGGTTAAATCTAAGAATGCTATTGGCTTCTTTCAATTTCGGGAGGGTAGGCATGTGAGGTAGACCATTGCTGACTTTATTGTACTAGTTAGCAACTTAGCATAATTTTTGCCTTGTATTTTCCTTTATAAAATCATGATGTTTCAGTGGCCATTCATGCATGCCCAAACATGATTATGGTTTCAATATTCTTACATGTGGGATGGCATGATTTGGCACATAGAACTCCGTTAAACTCAGTTAAGGTATTCTATGGTTGTCACTTATGCCTTCCTTTTCTCTCTCTCTCTCTCTCTCTCTCACACACACACACACACATACACGCACACATGCACCCGCACACACACATACACACGCATGCACAGATAGTCTTCTTCCACTATTTAGTGTTGAAAGCAGTCCTTATGTGTCATGTTGGTTGTTCTAAAAAGTGCAATGTGTACGTCTGATCTAATTTTTAAGATGACACGCTTGTAACATTTATAGTATTGTCCTGATGATATCTATGCTGAAAACTCTTGTTCATAGGTTTTGCAAAAGGCTTTAGAAGTCTGGGACTTGCAAGTTATTCCCCTTGACTGCCCAATTGCTGAGCCAGCCCAAATTGACCCTGAGTTGGAAAATGCATTCATTTGTCATCTGCATGACCATTGGTTTTGTATCAGGAAAGTAAATGGAGAATGGTATAATTTCGACAGTCTTTATGCAGCCCCACAGCACTTCTCAAAGTTTTATCTCTCAGCCTATCTGGACTCATTAAAAGGATCTGGCTGGAGCATTTTCCTGGTGAGGGGAAACTTTCCAAAAGAGTGCTCCATTTCTTCCTCTGAAGCTTCTAATGGTTATGGGCAGTGGCTGTCCCCTGAGGATGCTGAGAGGATAACTAAATCATGCAACTTAACTGGGGCTCCTCCTCAAAGAAACAATTTGGCTCAACAGCAACCTGAGCGATTGCTCTCATTGGATGAGAATGATATACAAATGCTTTCAGATATGGAAGATGAGGACTTAAAGGCCGCAATCGCTGCCAGTCTTATGGATTCTTCCCCAGCCACAGCCAGTGCTGAAGCTAGCACTCCTAAAACTGAAAATAAAGATAGCCGGGAAAAAACTGCATAAGAAGAAATATTCTTTTTGATATATATTTACTGGGCAAGTGATAATGAATCATGTCAGGCTTTAGATGGTTTGAAGGTTGAAAAAATATCTTCGGCGCGAGGTTGTAGCATTTTGCAGTATATACATTCATTACACATTTTCAAGTCAAACCTTAACATTGTAAAAGGCACTTTTCTTTGAAATACATCTCGTAGTATGCTGATAGTCCATAGATGGTCTCTGCTTCAGGGTTTCAGCCATAGTTGTTAGTTCTTTTGGGGCATATTACATGGTTTTCTGTCTCTATATTCTAAGTGTGCCTTGCCAGCACATAACATAACAGGCAGAAATAACTCTTGGAGAACATTTTTAACACAACGGATAAAGCTAGATATAAAAAAAACTTAAAATCGGTTCTGTTTTAAAACTCTTAGGGCGTTTTCAGACGAAAGCCAAAACCGAGGTCAGGAAGTTTCTCTTTTCTGTTATTGCTAATGACCTTCGTTTTCTTCGTAAGTGCTGTCCTTTGACACCCTTGCTGGTCGTGAAACTTGATCTCTGAGATCCAGCTGGCCAACTAGATTACGATAATAACCTCGCTGAATGCCAAAACTACCCTCCAATCCAAACCCGTACAGCAATATTTACACCATGAACTGTAAAGTACGTAGTATAGTTCATTTACCATGTCACATTTAGGAATTAAGACAAAATCGTTAAACGACGCTAGTAACCTTAAAAGTTAGGATTAATATGTAAAATGGCTTATTGTATTTTTTTTCCAATTTAGTATTTAAAAAAATAAAATTTTTATTTTGATACTCTAATTTTTATTCTATTAAGTATTTTGATATTTTAAATTATTACTGTTAATTAAATTACTGATATGATATGAATATTCAATAAAATCATATCACATATTATAAATGTATAATAATCACCATTTCAACTATTGTCATTTTATTAAAAATTATAAATAGAATAAAATTTAATTTTTAAAAAAAATTCAAAAAAAGTTTAAAAAGATAAAAAAGAAAGGATCGAAAAGAAAGATGGGGAAGAAGGAAAGGGGGAAAGAGCGAAGGGCAGCGTCGCCAATCGGTCTAAGGTTGAATTGGGTTCAGTCTGCCCCAAACCTGAAGGATCAGCATCGGTCTGACTCAAACGAGCCTGGTCGGCATCGATTCGCCAAGTCCGCAATAGACCAACTCCGATGCGACCTTAGGCCAACGGGCAACAGTTTTCCTGCCTTCTCCTTCCCGCTCTTTCATATTTCTCTCATTTTTCGATTCTTTCTCTTTTTTATTATCTTTTTAAATTTTTGAATTTAAATTTTTTTTTAATTTTTTATTTAAATTCTAACATGAAAATTAAATGATATGACAATAATTAAACATTTATATCATGTGTTATGATATTATTGGGCACTAATGTCACATAAACAACTTAATAATGTTAAGATGAAATATTAAAGTACTTGACGGAATAAAAATTTTGGTATCAAAATGAGAATTTTATTTATTTAAATATCATAATTATTAAAAATATATATAATAAGTATTTTTATATTAAACCCTAAGGCAGTGTTTAATATTTTTTAAAAGATCACCATAGTATTGTAATCATTAGACGATTTTATTATTAAGATGATATTAATACTCGTGATTTAAAATCATTTTATTTAATTAACAATCGTTAATTCTTAAGAATTAAAGATCACTATATTTGATGTTATTGAAAATCAAACATTATTTTGTTCAAAAAAACAAATAATCATGCATATTGTAATAATTACACAAATTTTAAGAATATTTAAAGATAATAATTTGTAAAATATTAGTAATATTTATTTATTTTGTAATAAAATATAATTAAATTATTAAATATATTTATCTAGATTTTTATAATATAAATTATGTAAAAAAAATTTGAATTAGAAAATAAATCCAATATATTAAATTCATAATAAAATAAAATAAAAAATTATATTATATATAAAATATTTAATTTAAAAAAAGTAAAAAATATACAAATTATTTTAAATTTATTACAATAAATATTAATTTAAAAATATAAAATTTATAATATACAATAATTACAATTTTAAGATGCTGCAAATTTTTAATTTATAAATCTTATATAAATATACAAAAATCAAAACTTATGGTAAAAAAAAGGTAATTGTCTTACGCGGATAGTCTAATTTTTTGACATATAGATATCTTTAATTAATTGCCATGTATCCATTACTTAAATATCTTCAATTTGATTTAATTGGATTTAATTTGATTTGATTCTAACCAAATTAATTATAATTATATTTAACAGCTTAAATTTCTCTTTCAATTAATTTTAATTCTTAATTGATTTGATTTTTACTAAATTAATTATATTTACTCTTAATAGATTAAATCTCTCTCAATTAATTTTAATTCTTAATTTAATTTGATTTTGATTATATTAATCACATTTATTTTTAATCTTACACAAATGTATAAAAGCTAAAATCTTTGGTAAAAAAATAATTATCCTATATGGATAGCATAAATTTTTTACAGTTAAACTCGAATAATTATCATTTATCCATTACTTAATATCTTTAATTTTAGTTACTTTGATTTGATTTTAACCAAATTAATTGCATTTATATTTAATAACTTAAATTTCTCTCTCAATTAATTTTAATTCATACATTTAATTTTAACAAATTAAATCTCTCTCAATTAATTTTAATTCTTAATTTAATTTGATTTTGATTAAATTAATCACATTTTTAATAGCTTATATCTCTATTAATTAATTTTATTTACCTTTTTTTTTTTTTTTTGCTTTTCAACACTATAAATATTATGTAATAAGGTCCAACCAAAAGAAACAATAATACTGGGTGATACTCCACTAGAAGAACTATCTACGAGTATCCAGTATATGAGTTGGGATTGATTTTCTCAAATACTCCTTTATTTAATTGTTTTGTTTTCATATTTCCTATACTTAAATGACTTAATTTTTTCTATTTTAGAGCCTATCTTTATATATATACTAGAAAGATGCCTGAGCTTCGGAACTTTTATTAACATTTAATTAAATTAATTTATAAAATGTGAGAATATTTAAAATGATAATAAAAAAATAAAGAATTGAACAATTAAAATGGTATGAAACAACTCAGTTTTCCCATTATGAAATGACTCGTAATTTTCTTAACTATATCTCTATTTTTTGCATGTTGCATAGTGGCAAATAACAAATGCCAATGAAAAAAATGTTACATGAAATGAGAAAGATTGATGTACCTTTTGAAATTTGTAGTTTGTATCAAATTGTCAACAATTGCTCTAACATTACCGTAAGAAAGCAGTGGCCAGTGGGTTCCATCATGCCATTCCCCTCAATGTTGTTGATTTGTAATACTGCAGTAAAATAATCTTGACTCCAGGTTTGCCATGGAAGCTTACACAGGCGTGCCTGCGGGGAAATGGGATTTAAGTTAATGTTCAACACATAATTATGCCAATAAAAGTGACAAATTCACTCAATTGTTATAACACTTTCTGAAAGTAAAAGTAGACAGTTTCATAATAAAACTCAGACCAACTTTAGGAAAAGATTTGATTAAATGCACTATTGCAGGTACCAATTTATAACACAAGAACAATGGATTGGCACTAATAAATTTTATATCAAACAATCCTGTCCTGTCTTTTTCTTGGCAAAAAGCCATAATTTGTAGTTTAATCTATGCTTTTGATGCGTCCATCCATGTGCATGAATTATTTTAACTAAGAACTACAACAATGGCATTTAATAAAAGATTCATTAACCTATATCAACATCATAATAACCATTGAACATCTGATCAACACCATCAAATAAAAATTGAACCGTGGAAGAACAGTCACATGCATAACCAAGTAGCATATTTAGAAATAATTGTAGAAATAGTGGTTCTGAACCTTAAGTCAGGAGCAGGCAAGCCGAAGAATTGGAGACCACCACCATATTCAAGCTATCATAAGTCCTTTTGTAATTCGTTTATGCCGAATTACTGAAGACAGTTCCAAAAAAATCGAACTCCTGTTCCAGATAAATGGTTAACATTACGAAACAAATTAATACTCAAGATAAAATGATGTCCTAGGCCGTTCAAATTTCCTTTGATCTGTGAATCCATCATTGAAAGATTGAGCTTTGGACGTGAATTCAATGGAGTATTAAGTGTTAGCACTGTTAGTGTTGTTATTTGGTTTAATGAAAGACTGAGGTGAAATATCACCAGAATTACATGTTTCCTTATCTTCCAATCAATTCTCTGATCATTACATTATTGCTAGAACCAGGGAGAGTAGTTCCAGCAATGGATGCTACTGGGGAAGACACTATGGAACTCAATGTTGACTCAAACTCAATTAAGAGAGGTTTACCCTGAAGAGTTATTGAAACAATCTGTGCAAACTAAAGATTGCATGTAAAGCAAAACATCATTCAATCTTCAACTAAAGATTGCACTAATCATGATTAAGTGTTGAAGCTTTGATTTCAAATAGTACATACGTGAAAAGGAGGAACACTGAACTAAGCTAAAAAATAATATAATGGAGCTGGTTCAACTCAATGGTGACTTTGGCTGCTGTTAAATCTCATCTTATTTTTAGAGAGAAAGTTCTATCAGCATGAAAAAGCATGTCAATAATTTGATACAAACAACAGTAATGAATTTGTGCATAGAACAATAACATCAGAGTGTTTGGCTTCAGTTTAAACCACAGTAAGATTGGCAAAAGAAGACTAAAGCAAAAATGCTTTTTTTTTTTTAACATAAAAGTTTAGGTAAGCCATGACTACTCATTTCAGGATTAGATGCTTTTTGGTCACTGTGTGTGATTTTGTATGCCACTTTAAATTGCTGGATAACAACATAAGTAAATTATCAATAAATCATGCAAAGGTCAAAATACATATGATTTCTTTTGGTATATTACTTTTAAATACCTTGCACTCCCAAGTATTGCCTGAATAGTGAATTGTTGATCCCTAGGCCAAATCAAGGTAGCAATGAAGTCACTGCAGCCTCATCGGAGTCAATTTTATTTGCCTTATGGCACCTAAAAAAAATAACAATACTCTCTTTCAAATAAAATATGCTTGTAAAGTTAAACTATATTTGGAATGTAAACCTGGTGGAAGAAAATTCATCTTGTTTAATATACAACACTGCAAAAGGACAACAAGATTGAGATTCACACAACATTTAAGAAAAGCAAAGTGCCCAAAGATCAGCGCTACCAACAACAAATTAAGCCAGTTCCCAATGGGCATTGGAATGATGTTGAAATCATGGAAAATTTAAACACTACATTGGAATGATTCATTTCCAACAGAAAAATAAAAATTTATTTGAGCCTTTAAATCATAATGTTCTGATCCATATGAAGATTGCTTCACTTAATTGCATTGGTTTTAAGGTTGAAAAGGATGAGAAGAGGCATGTCTGGTGGAGACCATAAGAGCTCTTGGCCTGTTTTTCTCACATTTTTACAACCCCAAAGTATGCAAGTTGACCGGTGATCTAGAGGCCTGTCTTGATGTCATTTTATTCCTGCAGAGCTGGCTGGATGGCCTGCCCTTAAAACGCAGGTGACTATTAACTAATTTTCTTATTGTTGTTATTGTGTGTTTTTGGTATTGCAAGAGGAGTCCTTGGTTTGGACACCAATGGACAACTACATGAAAATACGATAGCCCTGTTTTTAGCATTATAGAACTTTCATATCAAATACTTAAAATCTACTCCTTAGATTAAGCCAGAAGGAAACCAATAAAGAGATTCAAGCCACAGACTTGCCCAGACACTTTGCTTACCATATTGTTTAACAAAAAAACTTGATGAATGATGATAAAAGGACAGAAAGTTAAAAAAAAAAAAAAAGTTTCTTAAAAGAAAGCAAACACTGTATAAGTGCATGTATAAGTATTAGTTCTTACATTATAGCATATAAAGTGCACCCCAACGACCAAATATCAGTTCTCTCATCAATATCTGTATGGCTTGGGCAATCCCACGACTCAAGAGCTCGGAAAGGTGCTGAATAGTGCTGAGATGCCCATTCCTACATATGAAAACAACATGCAACAATAAGCATGGTAGAAGATGCATTAAGCTGACAGACAGAAAAATGTGCCTTGAAATATTACATTCAAACTTAAGCAGAATATTAAAGATGACAACTGATAGTGCCATAAGATAATGCAATAAATTATTATGGCTTTTAAAAAATCAAGAAAATGACTTTTAACATATTTTGTGATGATGAAAAAGGTAAATGCATCATACAAATATGCCAAGTATGTACTTATACGATTTTTTTTTTTTTTTTTGCCAGCAAGATAAACAACTTTTATACAAAATATTGAGTACAAAATGAAGTATGAAAATCAGAAATACAAAAAACTTTGAAAATTAATAAATCCAAATAAGTTGCATGTAAAGCAAAATAAAAAGAGTATACTAAACATGCAAATAAAGAAGAAAGAGGAAAGGAAAATTAGCCATGAGAATTGAATCTCAGATAGACTATCGTAGAAAACCCAAAAAATTCATTTTGTTTTTATAGTTGGAAGAGTTTGCTCTTAATATACCTAACATGCAAACATGAAAAACCTCATAATGGTAATCCTCACAGCTTAAAATAAAGTCAATGAAAAAAATAAATTAACCGAACCTAAATTGTCAGTAATAAGAAGTTATTAGAATTTCAACTTACAGATTTTTTGTCAGAAGCTGCAAAATCGATAAAGGATTGGTTCGACGTCGGAACCCATTGTCGGTCTTCATCTCCATCAAACTTTCACTAAACCCACAAAAGGTCTTCGATTCTTTTCCAAAGGCAATGGATTCAGTGTTTGCCGCCAATGTTCAATCTCTTGAAGATCGGGGAAACTCATCATCTCTCCCTCTCTCTCACCTCTTTCAACGGACTACTATTATTCTCCATTTCCGATGAGTTTTTTTCTTTCTTGCTTTTTCCCCTATCTACATTTTCTAGAAGCTTTTCCCAGGCAGTTGCAGAAGCTTCTGGAAAAGCTTTGTTTTCACAATTACCCCTCAATTGATATTTTTTAGCCTCTCTAGAGATGTTAAAGGATAAGGTACTGAATGTTTATTAATATATTTTAATTTTAATTTTAATTTCATTTTATATGTTAAAATGTTTAAGGTTTATATCATGTTCAAAGTAACTATTATATTTTATTTTGTTATGTTCAACATTACCTGACTCTAAATATATAAATTTTGAGTTCATAAATATAAAATATTATCTTATAATTAAAAAAATTATATTATATATAAATTTATTGATATATAGACACTTTTGTGAGTGAATTGTACATGTATAAAATTAATATAAATATATAAAAACTAAAGTCTTTGACAAAAAAAATTTATCTTAGGTGAATAATATAATTTTTTAACAAATAACTTCGAATAATTATCATATATCTTTTACTTAATGTCTTCGATATGAGTTAATTTGATTGAATTTTAACAAAATTAATTACATTTAAATTTAATAGTTTAAATTTCTCTCTCAATTAATTTTAATATTTAATTAATTTGATTCAGATTAAATTAATTATTTTACTTTTGATATATTAAATCTCTCACAATTAATTTTAATTCCTAATTTAATTTGACTTTGATTAAATTAATTACATTTATTTTTAATAGCTTATATCTCTCTTAATTAATTTTATTTATTTTTTTCTTTTTTCAATACTATAAATATTATGATTCAACTAAAGAAACAATAATACTTAGTGATGCTCGACAAGAAGAACTAACCTCAAGTATCTAATATTTGAGTTAAGATTTTTTTTCTCATATCTTTTTATTATTTAATCTTTTTTTTCTCATATTTCCTATACTTTGGACTTAATTTTTTATTTTAAGATATATCTCTCCATATATATTATTAATTATTTTTTGTGTTACTTGAGTACAACGTATTGAATTTTTATTTTGATATTTTAATTTTAATATTTTAATTTTAATTTCATTTTATATGTTAAAGTGCTTAAAGTTTATATTATGTTTAAAGCAAGTATTATATTTTGTATTATTATGTTCAACATTACATGACTCTAAATATATAAATTTTGAGTTGTTCATAAATATAAAATATTATCTTATAATTAAAAAATTTTATATCATATATAAATATATGATATCTTACATAAATATATAAAAATAAAAATTTTGATAAAAAAATAATTGTCTTATGTGAATAGCCTAAATTTTTGGCATGCGGATATTTTTAATTAATTATCATATATCCATTACTTAATATTTTAAATTTAATTAATTTGATTTGATTATGATCAAATTATTTTATTTATATTTAATAACTTAAATTTCTCTTTCAATTAATTTTAATTCTTAATTGAATTTATTGTAACTAAATGAATTACATTTACTCTTAATAGATTAAATCTCTCTCAATTAATTTTGATTAAATTAATCACATCTATTTTTAATTTTATATAAATATATAAAAGTAAAAGTCTTTGGAAAAATAATTATCCTATGTGAATAGTATAATTTTTTAAGATAACCTTCAATAATTATCATGTATCAATTACTTAATTTCTTAAATTTGAGTTAATTTGATTTATTTTAAGCAAATTAATTTCATTTTAATTTAATAACTTAAATTTCTCTTGCAATTAATTTTAATTAAATTAATCACATTTATTTTTAATAGTTTATATATCTTTTAATTAAGTTTATTTACTTTTTTTTTTTTTTTTGCTTTTCAATACTGTAAATATTATGTAATAAGGGTTCAACCAAAAGAAATCATAGTATTTAGTAATGTTTCCCTAACAGAACTATCCATGACTATCTAATATATAAATTGGGATTGGTTCTTTCAATCCTCCATTATTTAATTTTTTTTTTCATATTTTCTATACTTCTGACTTAATTTTTTATTTTAAGACATACCATACATTACCTAAAAATTATATAACATGTAGAAAACAGCGCACATGACCATCTGGCGAGCGGAATGTCTTCGCTCTTCGCATTCACATCTATTAGTATTACCATTATTTATTATCTAATTTAATTTAATTAATACTACTTGTTCTAAGCTAATATTAGGAGTTTATATATATATATATATATATATATAATATTGGGAATTTGAAAGAAAAATAAAAGGGAAGAAAAGTTGGAAAAGGTATGAGTGGGATGACGCTTTTAGGCTGGCTCTGTGGTCACCAACCTTTCCTTTGAACAGCCGTCCCTATATAGTTCAAAAGACATTGGCAAAAGGTTAAGTAACCTATTACTTTTGTATATTTTTTTCCCTCTGAAGTCTGATGATCATCTCAAGGCCATCTAAATTTTGGGTTTAAAAGATCTGATATTTGATTCTTGCAAATGGGTTCACCTAATCGATTGTTTAACAGACAGAGAACTGTTCATGAGATCCTTGGAGGAGGTTTAGGTAAAGTTTCTCACTTTTTCAGTATTGGGTTTTCTTTTGAATTGATTTAGATACACTTGATGGAATCCCAATACAATTTCATTGGTTTATACTTTGGAAGTTCTTTCACTGTGAAATGGATCTTCCATTATCCTTTCTGTAACTTCTGCTTTAAAGCTTTAGGATCAAAGATGTTGCTTTATGGTGTAGGTGACTCTTTCTTTACTGCAATGACCATCCTTGATCTATTTCCATTTTCCAGTTGGTTTTAGAGTTTAGGTTGATGACATTTTTTTTTTTTTTGCTCTGAGCAGTTGCAGATGTGATGTTATGGAGACGAGGGAATTTGACTGTGGGGATCTTGTTGGTCACTCTGGCTGTTTGGGTGGTATTTGAGAGATCTGGCTACACTCTGTTATCACTTGTCTCTAGTGTTCTCCTCCTTCTCATTGTCATTCTATTTCTCTGGGCCAAATCTGCTGCAATTCTTAATCGGTAATTAATGAAACATGCTATTCAAACTCAGATGTCATAAGATGCTATCAGTGCCTCACCAAATCTGTAGTAAAAATGTCATGTGTAGGGTGTAGTTAACAGCATATTATAATTTTATGAATAAAATTTTGGTGAATACTTTTCTCTTGCTCCAAGATTTTAGCTACTTTCTTCATTAAGCATCCTTTTTGTGTTCATTCATGCTTCATTTTATGCTTGCAATGCCTGATTTAGTTGTTTGCACATTGTATTACGTTATGAACCATTGCTGGTGTATATTTGATGAAAAATTACGTGCATAATGTTGACATTTTAATGAAAAAAAAGTTTAAAACAAGTACATAATTATTAGAATTAGAATAAAATGAAGTATGTTCCATTCTTCGGATTGATATGAATTTCCCATTTTTGCCAATTAGAAACTAGCAACTGAATTTTACTTATTGTTGTCTTAAAATAGCCCTGCTCCACCTCTTCCAGAGTTGTATCTATCAGAAGAAATGGTAAATGAAGTGGGAGCTGTCATCCGAGCCCATGTAAATGATTTTCTCTCTGCTTCTCAAGATATTGCATTGGGTAAAGATGCAAGGCTGTTCTTCAAGGTTGCTGCGTACTTGTTACTGCTTTCTGTTGTTGGTGGCTTCACTGATTTCATTACTTTGGGTTACACCGGTAAGCTTTAATTCCAATTTGTTACTATCTTTAGTATCTTCATCATCATCATCTTTATTTACAAGAGAGGGGGGGGGGGTTAGTTTAGGACCACCTTTCTCAGACTACTTTAAAGTTTCAATAGGAGTTCTGTTTCTTGATAAGTACAATAGAATTTTATGGCCCATATTGTTTCTCTTAGTGGTTTTAATTCTAGAGATACTTTGAGCATATGAATATCCGCTTTCCTTCTGGCAGGCCTTGTTGTTGTTCTCACCGTTCCAGCACTCTACGAGAGATACGAAGACCATATTGATTCTTATATCATAATTGGGTGCAGGAAAATGCAGCATTTGTATTTGAAATTTGATTCTAAGTTTGTGAACAGAATCCGGAAATGGATTTTGGAGAGGCAGAAGTTGAGCTGATTTCTGTTTTTTCTTCTTCAGTTTTCTTTCTTCTGTAGAAATTTGTTTTCCTTTCAGCTTGTGAGTGCCAATGGCAGGCACAGGTTTCTTGTTGAGCATTGGGGATGTGGAGAAATGCATTTTCTTTTTCTAAGATGATATTTTCCCTCTCTGTATTATTGTTTCCGGCATGTGAGTTCATTGGCTTTGACCAGAGAGATGTTATGGAAGCTAAGCTACCAATCAATGAAATTATCTTCGGTGAAATGAATGGTTGAGGAACATTTATACAAGGAAATATAGTTTTTACTTTTAAAAGACATTTTAGCTAAATGTAAATTCTAAATGGGATCAAATATTTGTGATCCCCATTTTTCAAGCCCGTGAACTTCTAATCTTCATGTTAATGTTACAGCTGTAACCAAATTTTGTTCTTTTGAGTTTTCGTTAATGGCATACGAATTAATGTAGGAAAGTTCGCCTGTCATGATATTCAAACTACGCCTGAAATGGCTCAAAACCTGAGGAATAATCAGATCCCAACCAAACCAAAAGCAGTGGAGAAAGGGAAGTTTTCCATTGAAGAACCTAGATGCAAATCATTAATTTGCAAAACTATATCTAAATCATATAGACGGGGGTAGAATGCTCTTAAGAAATTGACAGCCCATTACAAAGCTTAATCAAAGACCCAAAAGCAGAAAAGATCATAAGTTAACCACAAAATTACAAGCAAATTCTAGTCCTGGCTTCCTGCAAAGCCATCACGGTTCTCTTGCTGCCACCCAAACCCTTGTCCTTCACGACCCATATCACCAGAGTGGAACTTGCCCCGTTTAAGTTGTGACATATGATGAGGAAGTGGTGGAGGAGGTGGCGGAACTTGCATGGGCTGTGGTGCCAATATACCTTTGCCCTCCATAGGGTCTATGGCATTACTACCCTGCACAGCTTCCATCCCTTTGTTGGCTGATGGTGGGGCAGGAATCAATGGTAAAACTCCAGGATTTCGCCCATAATCACCTTGATAATTTGCAAAACCGTCCCCCATCATATGACCACCTGGCGTAGCTTCAAAATGGACACCAGGTTGCCCTCCATTCCAAGGCTGAGGATAAGCTGCAGGGTAATTTAAACCCCCAATTGGGCCTGGTGGGAAACCCAACAATGACCCCTGTTCGGAACCAACATCTGGTGCTGAGCTCGGCCGAGCCATCTCAAAGGGAGCACCATAAAATGGTTGAGCTCCATCAGTTGGAAATGGAGGAACACCGTATGGAGTTAACATAGGGTTTGAATTCATTGGAATAACATAATTAGGTGGTTGCATGGAAGGCATAGGTTGGTATTCAGAAAACTGGGTCTCAGACAAAAGTCCCTGCTGCTTGTCTGAAAACTGACTAGATTCTGGTTGTGGGGTGCCCTGTTTGTCAAAGCCTTGTTGGAAGAGGTTGTAAGGGCCAGGCCTGTCAAAGCCAGGGGGATGGCTATTGTCCGGTTGGGGCTCTGATGAATAATTCTGCAATTGACCAAATACTGGAGGCCCCTTTGTCTGCATCATTGGCCTTGGAGGCAATTGTTCTCTGGGCTGCTGCCAACGAGCTTTGTCTTCAATATCATGGACCTGGGGGTTTGAACCAGGAGAAATTGCAGGCCTTGGAGGAGCTCGAACAGTGGAATCTGAACCTGTAGGTTGCTTACCACTCTGAACCCCTGATTCTTTACCATCTTCCTTCTCTGCAGTAGGCTGTAAAAGGTCAGCATGGCTCTCATGGATATGAGATTCAAATTCAGTCTTCTTCAAAAACGACTTAAGACAGTGAGGGGCCGCACAGATGAAGATCCCCTCCATTATCTTGATTGTTTGAATCTTCTGTATACGTTCATCACAACTGTGAAAAAAAATAAGAAACAATATTTTTTCAATATCAATTACTTTTCTTTAAACTGAATAAAGATTAGTTCATGAATCAGCCAAAATCCGACCTACACAAGAAAAAAAAAATTCCACATGTTAATGATTTTGCTTAGTAAAATCTCGGAAACTTATTCCATCTTGGCTGTGAATACTTATGAACCATTCAAAAAACGCACATGGATGAACTAGCTACGAAATTCTACGATTCTTTAAACACCACAATCCATTAAAGAATTAAGAAGTGGTCACTTACAGATAGCAAATTGAATCACTCCTTGCACAATCGAGGCAGAAGGCATGCTCACAAGGACTCTACAAAAAAAAAAAAGCATATACAATTTTCAAATACAGAAAACAAATTCCAATACATAAAGGAACTCCTAACAATGATTTTTGAGCAATTCCAACACTTAGCTAACGATCAAAACCTCCTTCACACTTGAATTGTTTCAAGTTTTCAACTTTAGACGAAAAACAAGATTAAATACCTAGCAAGGAAACTATTACTTAAAAAAAAACACTTCAGAAGTGAATTCCACTATTACTTTTTGTTCAATTTACAAATAGTAATGATTATTAAAACGTACCAAGCGGCCGTAGATCGCTATAGGAAAATCGCAGCGAACGCAGAAGTGGACTCGCTCACCAAGCTGGCGGCGGGATTTACGACCGACGGTCTTCACGAGGGAGGATGAAGTAGCGGCGCCAATGCTCTTGGCAACTGGAAGGTCGGCGAGAACGAGGTGGTCGGGGCAAGCCACCGTCACCGTTTCTGTTGGCAAGGGCTTCACGGAGCCACCAGCGTCAGATGATGGGCCCTTACTTAGTCGGATTTGAAGCATCCTTGTTTCTTCGGCTCTTCCACGAAATCAAAATTCGATAAAAAAAATCTTCTTTTCCTTCTTCTAGAGGGATAATGGAATCAAATTTCGTGATTGATCGAATTTATTAAATAGATTGCGGTTTTGGTCTGCCTGATACCTAAAGCGGGTAGGATTGAGCCATTTCTTGGGCCGCTGGATTAAGGCCTGTTAAGCCAGCTGGACAAGCTTCCGCTCCTTTTTGTACCAATAGCCGAAAAAGGCTTGTTTTGCCGGTTGGTGTTGAGGCCCAAATGGTGGTCTACTGGACCGACTCACATTTCTTCTTTTGGGAGGAGGGAAGGGTGGTTCATACTTCATGCCAAGATAATTTGAGTTTTATTTCATCTTTTGGTAACCAAGGAATTAAATTGTGATTAGCAATTTTCAATACATCAATGGGACAACAAATGATAACACCAGTCCCAAAAAATGAACATAAAATTTATTTGAAAGTTTCTAACTTGTATGAAATTTCAAAAGATTCCCCCCCTGGCATAGATAAATTTCTATTATTCTCTGTGAAACTTCATTGACAGTCCCACTTGAAATCCATGCTCTGAGGGATTGATGATCATCTCTTTTCAGCTCAAGATGACTCTAGATTTCTGACAAATTTCTTAGCCTGTCAAGGAATGAAAAACAGAAAATATTTTTGATAAGCAATATAAAGACAAGAAAATGAAAGTCCACAGCTCTACAACTAAGGAAAGCAAATACCAAATAGAGGGGGGAAGTAAAAGTTTGCAACTTCACCTGTTCTAAGGTAAGAAACATGATCACGTTCCAAGATCCTAGCCGTCCAAAATTCGGGATAAAACCCTTATAAAAAGCCAAAGGCCCCTGCCAATGACAATGGATGCTGTAAGTTAAATGCTTGTGCACATTCAGACTCTCACCTGCAGCCAGTAGCTCCTTTGCTAGCAACAAATTTTTTAATATACAATCATAAAAAGTGAGCTGCTTAGAGGATAAAAGAGAAAAGCTAATGGAACCATCTTGCAGTTAAAGACAGTCAATTTCCATGCATAATTATTTCTATAACTAGTTATGAAGCTGAGTCTAGGGCATAGTGATGACAACTGACAAGATGTGTAGAAAAGGAGAAATAAGATCGAAGAAAGCAAACGTACATCATTTTTCAAAGTTTTGATGAAACAATCCAGTGTGCTCTTGTAAGCTGAATCTCCCATCATTCTTGACTTCACCTGCAGGAAAAAAGAAAAAGGGTAAAACCCATCAAATTTGCTTGATATTATAGCAACTGGCAACGGCAATAGCACATTCAACCAGTTGATAAAGTAAATAGGAAAAAGATGCAACTTGCTAACTAGGTGAAATGAAAAATAGACCTTAATTTAAATATGCTCTCACCTAGGCAGACATCACAAGTATGACTTCCAATGGGATTACTAATAATTACATTTACATAGATGGAAAAAATATGTTAAAAACTCATAATAGAATCTGAACAACTTTGACAGCAATATATAATGCTAAACACATAATTGGCACAGACAAAGGGATCAGAGTCCTCTAACCACATACATGCTACATGGTCTCATCTTTATACAATAGCATACTAGTTTCACCATGACCAGCAGAAAACAGAATATATATACCAAAAAATTAGAGAAAAGAGTCTAAATATGAACTTGGATGGCATACCACATCAACCGGAGAACCAATACAGACAGCAAACAATCCTGCCCCAAGACCAGCAAGGAGATGAGTGACAACATTATCAGTGAATCCGGGGATTTTCAAAATCGTCTGCATTGAAAGATAGACATTAAAAAAAAGTAAAAAGGAGCACTTTTGAAACAGGATGTCCAATGACTATTAGCTTTTATTATCACTTTACCTGCTTTACTTGATCATAGCTAGCAAGTTCAGCAGCATTTATAATAGCATTCCGTGCTATATTGGGACTGAGTCCAGTCCAAAGAGCCGCAATTCCTTCCTAGTGTTGGAAAATCAAGATGCCAATAGAGGAGTCAAGATAAAGCTAGTAACAAACTGGAAACTTGGTATCTCTTTCTTCCCAGATCAGATATCTTACCTGTCTAGCAATAGTGGAGTAAGCATTAAGTGCCCCAGAATAGCGCCTAGGTACACCAGGTGGTAATCTCCCTTCAGCCTGAAGTCTAACTTTCACAAGATCGGTCGGATTTGCCACTGTGATTCCTAGAGCGCCTTTTCAAAGAAACAACTAAAGTAAAGTACCAATCATGGATAAATTTGCCAGACATAACAAGTAATCCCAACCATATCCTCCATAGTCCTTACCAGTTGTAAGGGCTGCAAGTATTTTCTTGGTCAAAGGAACATCTCCAACATGGTCTTTTCCAACATAAAAGTTCTTAACCTGTCAAAATTACAAGTTTATTTGTGATAATGTCAACAAGAAAACAAGAACACATAAAATACACAATATGTATATATGAGAAGAAGATTCGACACCCACAGGCTCATACATCCCAATTCTCAAACCACCAAAAAGACACTGACGATGTAATCCAGGTACAACACCTTTCCAAAGTGCCGCTAAACCTTCTTCCCTAGCAATAGTACCAACTGTACCTAGCAAACCCCTGTATTTTGGTAAGGCTGCCGCATCTCCACCAACAGCTTTCTTCTGAAGCTGGAGCCTAACTTTAGCAGTGTCCAAAGGAATTGTACATATCTGCATTAAATTAAAGTACACACCGATAATATAATTTGAACTTCATATTAAGGCAACGATATTTCTTCCAACAATTCGAATCACCAGAAGCTTTCTTAATCCCGTATGTATAAATTGATTTAGCAGTCGCTAACTTGTATAAAATTTTATACCCTTGTAGCAGTTCATAATCCAGGAAGTCAAACATTATTCATATCACATATAAATTTTTTTTTCAAATCTAGCGGTCAAAGCTGATTTGAAATTAACCAAATTGTTGGAAAATGTTGAAAGAATTAGAAATTTAGCATGAAAGATCCCCAAATCAACAACTTCTATTAACCCAAAGTTTGTTTCACTAAAAATGTGAACTTCAGTTGATCCCATGAAATCTCTGTCCTGACACAAAAAAAGAAAAAAGTTTCTTGCATGCAAATTTACGATCGAGATACTATATATATATATATATATACACATTTCAAGTCACCAAAACCGAAGAACAAGATGCAAAAATTCAGAGACTGAGAATACAAAATCGTGATCAAAGCGAAGAAGCAGTATATAACAAGAAAATCAAATAGGAGGGTAGTGATTTTTCTGATACCTCAGCGAAGCAAGCAGCAAAAGCGCTGCTGGCGAAGGTTCCGGCGAAGGAGATATCGGATTTACCCTTTTGATCAGCCACCATTTTTAAAATCTCTCTCTATTAAGAAAATGCAAAGGATATGGATTATTATTAATAAAGGAGTTGAAAATCAACAAGTAAGAATTTTTTTAATATAAAAAGAAAATGAGGAATCTCAGGAAAGGTGATGAGTAGTATTGCCAATTTGGTCTGCTGCTGTCTTCTTCCTTGTATCGTTATATCATCTCGGTTTCGCTGGCTTTTATTTACTACGTATAAGCAGTCTACAGTATTTTTGGGTTGGTTGCCTTGTTGGGCTCTTCCACTTTCGGCAAATTTCGTTAACAATTAACACTTTTGATTTTTTACCAATTATAATAATTGGAGGTTTGGATTTTATGATATTTTCAGTGCTTAGTAGTTAAATTCATTGTATCAGTTGAATTAAAATAATAATTTTAATGATTTTTATTTTGTATAAAATTTTTTAATCATAATTATAATTTTTTAAATTATAATAATAATAATAATAATTTTTTAAAATTTTATTGAAATCAATTTTATTATTTATTTAAATAAATTTTAATGAATATAAATTTTTTTATTTATGAGATTACTATTGGGTTAAGTTAGTGATTGGACAGTAACCTAGCATTTGTCTCACTGCTTAAATGGCATTTATTCAAACTTGTTAAGATCTCGGAACATGCTTGAAGACCAAACTCGTTTATTACCTTTTAATCATTTTTTGGCTTCTTGTCATGTTGTTTTTTGATTTGAGAATGGAGAGATTTGAATTATACACGGTGAGAAAAAATTGGAAGACTTGTCATGTACTATTATGTTATTAATCAATCATATTATTATTAAAGATATAATCGAATTGAGTTGAATCGATACAATAAAAAAATTAAATTTGAATTTAAATTAAATTCAAATTTAAGTTTAATTTGAAATTTGTTGTTTAAAATTTGATTCGAATTTAATTAAATTTTAATTTTTAAGTTTCAACTCAATTCGAAATAAAAATTAAGTTATTCAAATTTATTTGATTAAACTCATTTAATAAAAAATGAGTTTAATTTTCATATATGATTTGAAACTCAATTATATGTTTGAATTCAGATTCGAACTTAAATCGATATATATATATATATAAATAAAATAATAATTTTTAATTAAAATAATATAATATTTTAAAATTTAAAAATTTTAATTAGACTCATGAATTATAAAATAAGATATTAAAATGCTTAACTTTAGCTCGCTCGATAAAATAAATTGTTTAAATTCAAACTTCATTCAATAATAATCGAATTAAATTTAAATTTTATTCGAGTTAACTTCAAATAATTTATGAATATTTATATATTATTTATATCTCTAATTACTAATCATTTCATTTCTCTATATTGATTATAAGGACTAGACGATGAATGTTAGGGGAAAAAGAAAAAGTAGAGATATAAAAGCATAGTTAAAAGTCAGAAGAAAAAGCCGGTCAACTTGATCGTGGATATGGTGTTGGTTTTGTCACAAATAGATGTATGCTTTGTGATTGGCAAAAGACTAAGTATGGTTTTGCACATGGACCACTTGACAATTTTTTAGCCCATCAGCCTTCGAGGTTGAAGGAGATGGAACCAAAATTCTTCTGTATACGTGAGAGAAGACCACAGCCAATGTGATTCAGTCTTGTCAAGGCTCTCAAGTGATTTACTTGTAATTTCTTTCTCAGTAAACGACATGTTACCGACACAGATCTTTTCTCAAAGTGGGAGAAAAAGGTGCAAACAATCATCTAAAAAATTCAACTGTTCATTTTCTCTATTGTTTTAACAAAATTTGAAGGAAATCTGATAACCGGCCATCGCAGATCTTATCAAGTCATCAACAGCAACATTGACCAAACCTTTTGACACAAGCATGACAGAGCAAAACCTTACCTGAAGTCCTAAACTGTTGCTTCAATTAATCTAGCACTTTCATCAATTCAAAGACCTCCGTCTGTTCAGATCATAAAAATATGAAGAACATTTCTATGATTTATACCTGTGGTCTGAGGATATATAGATACAGCTCAACTCATACAACATTAATTGTGTTCGAACAGTTTTGGTTGATATGATCAAGAAATAAAGATGCACCATTGAAGTAATGATGATACACTTAAAGCCGAAAAATGATTTAACAAATAGAAAAGACTTATTAAGCGAGCTGCAACTGTACCAGGAAATGAAAATTCAATAGCAATTAATTTCTTAGAATGTAACTCGATGTCGACCCATATTACAATTTTTTGGCTCCGGAAAAGTGGAACTGCTGCTCAAAACAGCTCATTCTTCTCTTCAGTTCCTAAGAAACAAATGATGGCAGAATTTGAGGCATAATTAGCAACAGGCAGCTGCACTTAAACGATAGTTGATCACCGTTTCTATGATGTTCTCCCTTTTGTGAATTAAACTACACAAGATGTCATTTGTTTCCCTTTTTGGATTCACTGTACAGAATAACTCCAAGAACCGTTAGCGAGTAACCCAGCATCCCAACTAATGAAACAGGATTCCTGAATATCAAAATTGAGACCACCACAGCAACAGCACCTTTTGCATTTCCCAGAACCTGAAAGATTTTACAGGACAATCATTTTTTTTTTAAAAGAAGACAATAACATATTCCTCGAAACTTACCCTGACATGCAAAAGCAAGACGTTTTTAAAATGAAATCTTATTCCATCCCTAACTTATCACATTGAATACCTGGAGAGTCAGCGCACTTGTGTGTTTAGTGACCAAAAAGTTGGTCAAGTTCACAAAATATGCAAGAGAAGAATTGAAAAGCAGGTAGTACACTATTTTCATATCTTCTCTTGCAAGAACTACAGCCATCGCAATCACATTTCTCTCCATCAACAAAGTGGCAGGAAGCAAGATCGCTACTGCTATTGGTGCCATGTACATTAGCAAATTCATTGAGTTGAGTTTTTCCCTGGAAGAATAAATTGGACTCATTTCAATGTTATACTTTAAATGTGAAAGAAAACATGTACCGTAGGCACCAAACTGTGGCCCTAATTTTTTCTTGTTATGTAACTTTAGAAAGACAAATTTCATAATCTTTAAAACTCTTTAACTTTTGAAGATTTCTCAGTTTAACTGAGAGAAGAATTAAAGCTTACTCTTCTGATGACAGCAAAATTGCCTGAAGTACTGATTTAAACGCCCTTGCAGCTGTAGCTGAAACACACATTAGAAACCCGAAAAGGTGGAAACTTGGTTCAGCCTACAACAGACAACAAAATGTATGTGAAATGTATTGACAAATTATACTAAATTCTCCAGTCAAACAAAAACCAAGATCTGACAACAGAGCTGTCCATCCTATACGAGTTCATTATTTCATAGCATTAAAAAAACCCCATTATCCTAAAACAAAAATAATTAACATGAATAATACTAGTAAAGTTAGGAAATTGTTACCCTACTAGCAATGATGACTCCTGCAACAACAGGCATCAAGGTCACGTATGTAACCCAACTCTCCCTCTTCTTGCTCATAATATATGCGAAAACTGCTGTAAAAAATGGCGTCGTGGCACCAATGGCTTGGTTAAAGGACACTGGAAGATACCGTAATGACACGTTTCCAAGAACCACAGAGAAGCAGAAAAACAAGCACAACACTGTGATCTTCACAAACTGTTTCGTGGAACCAATACTTTGCATGGGAACCACCTTGAGCCATGCTATGGCTAAGTAGCTTAGCAAAGAGCAAGCAAGCATGTGGCACATGGTCAAAAAAATTGGGTACTTGAAGCCATAGTTGCTGAGCAAGTACTTGTTAAGAAGAAGAACCCCAATGTTTGAACTGTACCACGAGATCACGATCCAGGTCGTGGTCCATGGAATCACAGCCTTCATGGCTATGGCTTCAACGGTAGGCTTTCTTTTTCCTTTCCAATTTCGGAAAAAAGAAGGGAGCATGGGAAACTAATAAGGGGATCCAGCTCTAGAGCCCGAAGCACCGACGTAACCTAAGAATAAAGAAGAGCGCCAGGATTAAGTACCGATGCCACTTGCATGGAGAAATAGGGTAGTTTTCGTAGGACCTACTCTTAACCTAAATTAGCCAATTTAATGAGTATTAAATGTTTGGTTTTGGGGTTGCTGTTGAATGATTATAAATCTAAAATCTGCTTTTTCAGCTGTTGTAAACGTGATATAATTTTGCTCACGAATGTGTCACAAGTTTTCAGGTATTTTTCAACGTTCAAGACTTATGTTGGCAATATTGAGCATCAATTTCACGCCCTCCCTGAAGAGGTTTCAGTGAAATGAAAAAGCAGATAGAAGATCATATAAAATTTTCAATGCAAATTAAAAGCTGAAATGTCCTTCTGGTTTTATCTCAGCCCTCTGCCCTATGACCATGACTTCCAGCACTTGGTCTAATTTCGGGGGGTAGCAACTGCCTGACTATCTCAGTGAATAGAGCGCAAGGTTCTTAACCTTGTGGTCGTGGGTTCGATCTCCGCAGTGGACATCATTTACTTTTTTGCCCTTGACTAGTTTTTCCCCATAGGAAAGAAAAGCAAATTTAGGAAAGGCCAAATATAAAATATACATACCAATGTGGGAAACTACCAGGTTCACAAGCATGACAACTGCATAGTAACAGCAAAGAAACACCAAGACTGATGCATGTTCCCAATAATTGGTGTGTTACAATTGTGGCTGGGTGATATAAATATAACTGAACAATTCTTTTCATTTCCATCTCTGGCCGTACTATGCCGTCCTAGCTGTAGCCAATATATGATACTGTGTGCTTGTGTAGGAGAAAACTAATATATGTATTCTTATAATAGTAACTGAACAAGTTATATGCTTGGCTTACATGACATTCGCGCTTTGCTATTCCACTACAAAGGCACTAGAAGAACCTGTAAAATGGCGAGTTGAACCAAAAAGTGATTTTGAAGCGCCAAAATGTGTTATCCTGTAAACACCTGAGATCACTGATTCTGGGATCCTCCACTCTATGGTTGCATAGCTCAGAGGACTTAGTTTTGCAGGCCTTGACCACTTAAACCGTAAGCAAAAGTCATCATCATCATATGTTGGGATCCATGTCTTCTGATCTTGGAGAAGTTCAACCAATGTAAATGTGCCCTCAGTCATGAGGTCATTCCTAGGACAAGCAGACCAGAAGGTGACTGAGACCACATCACCCCGCTTGAAGGTGGAATTAGGGACATCATCTTTAACATCCCCGAAATTCACAGCAGGAGGGGTTGCATCCAGGAGAACTGGTGTTAGTAAGCTAATCTGCTTGTCTAGAAGATCTGGTGGTTGTGGGCCTGGTTCAACAGATCCGCCACTAATAAGAGCTGTTGCTAGTTTCTTGAACTCCTGTATGTAGGCATTAAGCGTGTATGGACCATATAGGGTGGAGGCTCCCTGACATCAAAAAATCACTCAAACAAGGATCTATAACAAATATAAACCAGATCATGAGGAATGGCATAATACTAACCTCATATCTCTGAACCTGATACTCCTCAAAAGTCGTAACATATTGGGAATAAGTATTTGTCAGCCCTGCAATGACAATATGGATGTTGTTGTCAAATTGCCTATGGACTCCAGAAGAAAGCACTGTCTTAACAGCATCTCGAAGGCGCCTGCCAGCCATGGTAGTGAATTCTGAAAAAATGAATGATAGCATTACAAAAATAGTTCAACATGCAGCAAAACCCTACCCATGATTAAGATAGTTACGTGTCATTTGAGAGGTATATCATAGTAGTCATGAACTAAAAACCTGAGGAAGATAAAACTTTCTTTATCATAGTAGTCATGAGCTAAAAACCCGAGGAAGATAAAACTTTCTTTACAGTACAAAATACCATTGAAGCTTAGACGGTATCAAGAAACCTCTAACAGGGAAAATGCCAGAAAAATAAAAGAAAAAAATGCTTCTACCTGCAGGTAAACTGAGAATGACAAGTTGCCCTATCCGCAAAATTTGAACTGGAAGTATTGAGGGCTGCATGAATTATTCAATATGAGGACAAACATTACCACATATCTATGTAAATGCGCTGTTGATTAACTATTCACAATTCCTTTCCCTAGGATTTAATCAAATACTTTTACCATTCATCTAAATACATCAACTGATACTTTAATATCTTGCAGTTCATGTATCTTCATGAACAGCTCCGAAATCAAGATCTCATGGAAATCAGTCATTTTAAGTAACAGTCAGAAGTATTGCAGTACATGTGTTCAAGATTGGAATAATAAGAAGACATATATGTTACCAAGTTCAACCAGTCCAAACGTGTATCACAATCATGAATGTGCTGCAAGGCAGTTTGTTTTATCATTTTTCAGAAAGCAGATTGAGGCTCCACGATCTGCGTGCTATACAAAGCGGAGCACTCCAGTATGAAAACAGCATAGCTCATTCAATAGTCTAAGCTTTTTCATCACATACATTAATCGAAATCAAACTAAACACTTACTGCCCAGTCATATGGTTGCTTCATTTCACCAGTATCAAGCAAAATAGGCTTAGGTTTCTGACAATTGATCTGTTCCTGATTTGGCGTTTTCAGCAAGTTCCTCACCAATCTCCAAAAGGCATTCCCCTGAAAGGAAACATGTTAATAGAGTCATCGTACAAATGTAGCTATTCCATCCCTCCAGGGCATCATAAAAATATGGGTTAGGTCTGCTGCACATGCTCTCTTACTTGATCATCTCCTTGTATGAAATCAAAAGCTCCAGGACCATCTGTTGTTCCAGCAGCAAAAGCAAATCCCATGGCAGCTGGGCATGTTTTCACCAGCTCACTCCCTCCTCCCACTTTAGGTACTGAAACCTCAAGGTTAGAGAAATCCAGATAGGCATGTTGATACCCAACCTTTCCTTTCAACTTTTCAGTTGCTTTATTAAAAAGGTCCATGGCCTTTTCAAATTGCCGTTTTCCAATAATCTCAGTACTCCTAAATTCATCAGGATAGCTGCCAATAAATGTTAATATGGTTCCATCACCATCCAATCTTTAAATGAACAAAACATACAAAGTAAAAAGTGATAAAGGGGGTAAAAGTGACTATGTAACACATGTACAGTGTACCCTGGACCCCTGCCATAGCACTGTTCATTCTTCCCATTGCAGGTGCTATGATTGAAATCACATGGCAGTCCAGTGTCTATGCAAAATGCACCAAGAGTATTTGGGCTGACATCACCACAATTTGATTGACAGAATGCCGATACAAACTGTGGTCTATCTGCCTGCCTTAAGGCATTCCTGACCCGTCTTGCAACACTAAGAAATCTTGTAGCAGGTTGTCCCTGAGAAGATTTGAATGAAGCTGCAAGTTCCACCAACTCATTACCTGTTTGGAATCAAATGCAGCTGCTGTATGTTAGGAATAACAAATGATATGCACCATTGCACTTGGCCCTGAACATTACGTATGCATAATTGCTATCACATGGTTCCGGATGGAAGTCAGGTAGACACATCTATCAGGCTAACCTAAGGTCTGAAACCAGTGTAACAAGTGGCATGTTTAACAATGGCTTTGCTCATAAAATTTGGTCTTAAATGAAATGCTGTTAGAAGTTCAATCCAGAAAAAATTTTCCAATTCCTAGTTCTCACCCAAATTTATTTAATACCTGTTGTCTTCCTTGTAACTTTTAAGCATACAAGGACACATTATAGCAGAAGGATAATTGCTAACTCAAACCAACTTCCTATGTTCAATGCAATAATTCTCTATATATCTTAAAAGCAAGATTCACTTACGTTTATCATGAAGGTTAGGGATGATGCTTGAAACTCTTCGAGGGATTCTAACACTTGCAGATTTATTGACAGGCAGGTTATCAAAATCTGTCATAAAACCAGTCTGTTTGAACCAATCTTCCATAAATCGAGCTGCAGCACCTTTGTTGTCTCCACTAATCAATGAGTTCGTACGACTCATAGAAGTTCCATGGGTAGCAAACCAGTTGAAGCTACCTATGGGACCCCACTCTTCATCAACAAACTTAATCAGTGTCATTTCTTTATCAACATTATACTTGTATTTACTCTGTTCATCTGCTGGATTATTCAGATAAGCACTCGGACTACGATTTATACCAGCATCCAAGAGTTCCCCTGTATCACCATGTCTAAAAGTTGATATATATAACTTTTAAATGAGAATAACATATGGAATTCTGTTTGAACACAAATAACACAACAGAATACCCTTGAATGAAGATTATATCACAATCTATTCAGTATTCAGCAGTTAAGTTTTATCTTTTAGCCCCAAAATCTCACTTTTTCAAGATAATTCATTAAGCCATAGAAAGAAGCCAAGTGCACTGGCAAATGCAAAACTATGCATTTTGCTGCCACTGAACAGATGTTGTGTATCTAAACAAATATATCAGCATAAAAGAAAGTAAATATGTAATGCTTATAAATAAACTTTCTCACCTTTATTTATCAAAATAGAACCTGGACGGAGATTTTCATGAGCTTGTATAATGCTTTTCTCAATCCCATTAACAATGACATCAAAGGACTGTCTTACAAATCCAAGAGAAGTTACTAAATACACAACATATTGGAGATATCCCCCGGGGCCAGCATGAGTATGTATACCACTGATGGCGACATTCTTCTGTGTGTAAAGCTTGCCATACCTAAAAAATGGGAAGTACTATCATAGAAAGATATGCTAACAATACGCTTAATCCTAAAAGTTGGTAAAATAATCTGTTCAAATATTCTACAAACATTCATGAACACCATAAAAGTTTGGGTGTACGGTGTACCTTGCTTTTAATCGCTCAAGTACTTTAATTGTAACAATTTGTGAGGCCATACAGGCATCAAGATTCACAAATACTACACGGCTCCCTTGAGGTTCAGCCACAATAAAGGCCCGAGCACGCAATCTAAAATGAATGCCGGATGCAATTTGTTCCATATTTGCATAACCCATCATATTAACATCAGCAGCAGGCCCCGTTATGTCATAGCTTCCAAGGCCAATCAAAAAATTGGAAGCTGATAAAGATCCTTCAATTTGCAGTAAAAGAAACAACAAAAAAGAGGACCAAATAACCATAGATGGCCTCTCCATACAGCAACAATCTTTACAAACCATCTTCATAGCTTTTATTTCATTCTTCACAACAGGAAACATAAAAGAAAGTAAGATACATATTCAAATTCATACAATTGAGGGTCCCAATTAGACCTTATCAAAGTTTAAAACAATAAAAATTCTCACTGCAAACATTAAATCTGGAGAAGAAAAGGAAAGAAATAGAAAAAAAAGGGAAATGGGTATGTGCCTGCAGGCTGCAGCAGTGTTTCAGCTACAAGCTGAAGCTTGTTGAAAGTGAAGTTGCTACACGTGAAAAAGCTCTACCTGATATGTAGTGAAGCAGAAGAAGAGTGACATTGAATAAAGCAGTTAGATATTCTTGGGGTGTGGGGTAAAGTTGAAAAGACAAAACCTGGATAATTGGAACGTAGACAAAAGCATTAAACAGAAGCCAAAATCGTGTTGGTAAGGCAAATAAAATATTAACAACCTCCGTCAAGCCAGACTTCGTTTCAGGCCAGCAGCTTAGAGAGGTTCGGAGGTTCCTGAAAGGTGTCGTCTTAAGCGGGCGCGCAATTTACCTGTCCGGACGCGTCGTTTCTGCAGTAGTTTTGATGTTCATGAATTATGAAGAACTGATGATGTATTGAAGTCTCTCTGAACATGATGTGGTGTGCCACTACCAAAGAGATGGAAGAATTGTTGTGTTTGGTGAAGGGTGAAAATATGAAAATACATCTAAATCATGTAGTTTTGGTTGGTGGCGCAAAGTGAAATGGCCTGCCCCAACACTGAAATGCAGCCATCATTTTTTCCAACCATTTTAACCCTCCAACTGTCACTTTGCAACTGGTCCAAGTCCAACAAACAGATAAATGAAAACCGCTTTTCCCCCAGGCCCCCATTATCCTACAGTCTCGTCATTCATTTTGTTAATTCAACTTTCCCAATTTATTGAAGGAGAAATATTTCTCAGTATGAAAATTAAAACCTCTAATAGGAGAAACCTAATCATAAGTTATGGTTATGGTCTGAGAATAGAATCAGATGATCTTACTTAAATTGCTGCTTTCCAATTCAACCAATTCAATATCTGCTGCCTGCTAGTACCATTTCTCTGGTTATGGTTATGTTTTGAATTCTTATAAGAGGCATTGCTTGAAAGTAATGTCAAGTTTGGACTGAGAATTTGACAAATCCAGTTGAATGTTCAACTGAGATTTTGGGTATTGAGTAAAGGTCATTTTTTATTATTAAAACTGAGATGGATTTCTAGTAGGTTGCACTCGCATCTAGTGTTTAACTTGATCTGAGAGCTGGGACATTTCACATTAATTTTACTAGCGGCGGTCACGGGCCAACTGTGGGCTACAGCCCGTCAAAAAATGTTTCTTTTTGAGGAATTGAGCCCACTTCTTTTCCTTGAAGTCCAAGAATCAGGCCTTAATATCTAACACTAACCTTGCAGTTTAGGACAAAATCAGTTTATCAGCTACAACTCAAAATTTATCCTGTTTTCCATCAAAAGAATCTCTTCCACACACTCAAAGCTTCGACTTTCCTTCTTTTTCTTTTTTTTAGGGCTCGAACATTCATTGACAACAACTAAAATACACTCAAATCTCTCTTCTAGCAACGATTAGATTATGACCAAAGTGAAAACATTCCCCTAATTGATTAAATAGCTATAATAACAAGACCCTAATAGCAATGGTTCAAGATTTTCATGTTTCAAAATGGATTGCCTCTCATACTTTTAAGATCCAAAAACACTGATAGTGGATCAATAACAAAGATTTCAATTTTAGAATTAACAATAATCATTATCCTAAGAAATATTAGAAGTTTTTGAATAACACCATAGAAATAACGTATAGCTCTCAAATACAAAACAGCAAAATTTAACTTTAAATTAAGACTCAGTCTCGACTCGTCCTATCCACTTGCAATGCCCATATAGCATCTACAACGCCTCACTGCAATACCAAAAAAAAAAAAGATAGATAAATAAAATGAATGTGCATGCATAACATGAACTCTAATAGGAAAAATGTATGCAAAAAAAAAAGGTTCAAATATGCCAAACTAATTGATTTGCATCCTAATAAGACCAGACATTCAAATCCATGACGCATAAGATAAATGAACTAACTAGATAAAAAGATCAAGTGCAGTTCAAATTTTAATTATAATTTAGCACAATTTTCCATAACCAATCCGCAGTCTCACTATCAACTTCAATCATGGAAAATCCAAGGCAAATTTCAAAATTGATTTCATCATCTACGTACAGGAAGCTATGCACAACAGTTTAAGAATCCAGAAATGGGCATTACTTGTGTGCATGAATGCTAACATAGAAGAATGAAATCTCAATTACACATAAAAGAGCAAATGCTGTTAACTCTTATAATACTCGGGAGAGTAAAAGAATCGATTGAAATTACCTCAAATGTTGCTGGGATACATAAAAACTCTCACTTTATCACCCTATTCAACCAAAATAGAAACCCAAATCAGCAAATCGAATAACAAATAAAACAAATAAAAATGCCAATAAGTACTTCGCTAACTACCATCGATTTGGGAGGGAGGTTAGACTTGAACTTGGCACGAACAATGCCACTGTTACCATGAGGCCTTGTTACTTTACCCCAAATGCAACGATAATGAGACCCATTTTTCTTCACTTTCGCCTTGTAAATATACGCCATTCGCTTCCCACAGTACCATCCTACTTCCTCCTTCGTGTTCACTCCTTCGATCTGAATCAGTGATGTGTTCGGATATTGGTTCGACTTCGACCTTTAACAAAACCAAAAACCAATTTTTAAACACCAATCCAATCAATCTCTTACCAGCTCAACAAATCAAAATAAAAAAATTTTGTTACCTCTTGTAGCCCAAAATGGTTCCACGAACGTAGAGCCTATAAAACAGAAAAATAAAAGACCAAATGAAAAAGCGGATTGGCGACATTAATGAAAACGAGATTTAGTTTTGAGAGAATGAGACCTGACACGCTCTCCTTGGCGACCTTTAACCATTTTCGGTTTGAAGAAGAAGCCTATGCTGCCGCTGTGTCTGCGAAAGAACAAAAACCCTAGTGAAAAGATTAGACAGAGAGAGAAAAAAAGGAATTTATAGAGGAGAGGAAATGTTATGTGGGCGTAAATTTTTCTTGGTCACGAGAGTTTTGGGCTAGCTATTCGGCCTTTGAGTTCCCATTTTATTGGGCCAAACCTGAGCCAAATTTACTGGTTTTGCACCCAGAAATCGACAGACAATTCCTTGATTTTCTTTCTTCCCGAGTACAGCGTGTAGACCCAACCCATTTATTGGATTATTAATATCTGAAAACCAGATGCAATATAACAAAACAGAACTCTTCAATCTTCATCTGTTTAGTATTACAAGTTTTGACCTTTTGATTTGATGATCTTCAGTTTCCTTCCTTGTTAAGAATTTGTCCCATTAATCCTCACTTATCCACACCATTCCAGCATTGCAATTGTCGACGAAAAACCATGGAACAGCCTCTTCTCTCAGGTACCCTATTTCTAATTTTCCTTTTTTTTCTGTTATACTTTTAGATTTTCTCAATAACGATCATGATCGATTGATCCTGCGTTAATGTTGGGTTTTTCTGAAGAGAGAAGAAGTGAAAGTGAAGAGAACGAGAGGTTGAGCTCGTATCAGTACGTGGGGAGAACAGGGTCGGTGATTCCAACAGCTTCCTTGGCGGGAACCGAAGTTAGCATTGAAGAGATTCGATCAGCCACTTCTTTTTCTGGTCATTACCCGCCTTCCATTCACGCTCCTTTGATCAGCTCCCCTGAGCCCCATCCTAACGGTATCTCTAATACAAGCCGCTTCTTTTTGTAAACGGGTATTGAGTATTTCTGTCTCTTTTGTTGAAAGGTTTAAGCCTTTTTGGTTAAAAGTTAAGAGTTTGAGTGGCTTTAAATTGTCAATTTCGGTATTTTGGAGGATGCAAGGAAATTTTATTCCAGAATTAACCATCCGAAATTGAGTTGCCAATGTAGATTGTAGTTGTGAGTTGACTGTTACTATTGCATGTCGCAGAGCAAGCTATTCTTCATCAAGGTCCTTACACAACAGATTATGGTGCATACTCCAATGAATTTCAGAGGTAAGACTCGACGAAAGTCAGAACTCCCTTGCATTAATTTGCAATGTTACCAATTGCCATATGTTTTTGAATTAGGACATATACGAGCAGCATTTCATGCTAGTGGTATGAAGTGTTTCTCAATCTCACCTGATGTCTGATCAAGTTAGAATTTACTTTGTGATCGAGAGGATTAAACATCCTAGAGAAATGAAAATGCTGAAATTCTAGTTGTAACTCGTTGGCATTTGCTTTGAGAAAAAATAATTGTGAATGCTTAAACATCAGGTAGTAGTAGCATATACTGATTAAACGAGTGATCTACATGTAGGCAATTATTGGATGAGGTAGAGATACGAGAGTTGCTCATCGATCATATTGGTCATCGATGCTGTTGGGGGAGTCATCCTGCTCGGACATGGAAGATTCATGCTGTTGAGGATTGCAATGTTTATGTGGGAACGCTAGAAACTTTCTTAGAAGAAAGGGAAGTGGTCAGAGAAACAGAACCTTACCTTGGTGGCAACATTGATGGAAAGGATAACAGTCCTGAACTTGGAATTTGGGAATTGGACCTAAGATCACAATTCCCTGTTCTCTTTGTACCTTATAAAGAAACACGAGTCAAGATTCCTCATAGTGACACCATTGAGAAATGTTCAGGTAATTCTACTGAACTAATGGAGTCTACGGGATTAATATTGGAAGATTTTTTAATCTGAAATTTATCTAAGCACAAATTTATCTGCCACTCAAGTGCTCTTAATAGCTATTTTGTTTCCCTTTAGTTCCTTTTTATATCTTTTTCATGTTATATTAATGCTTTGTGCTTTATTAGTTATACATGTCATACATGGTTCTTGTCTGCCTGGTCAGTAGTGCTTAGCTTTAATTTAATTTATAAGAAAAAATGTGCAGGTTGTGCTGGACGAGGAGATATTGCATGCCCTACATGCAATGCAGACCTAGAACCTGGATTTTATAAGAAAAATCAGATGTCCCAGTGCCCTGCTTGCTACGGAAGGGGATTAATTGCTCGCAGAGATGGATCAGACACCATGTGAGCGGTTTCTTCTTTATTTAATTCTAGAAAACTTAAACTATCATCCAAGATAGATGGTTACTGGTTCCAACACATGAATAATGTGGTTGAGCTTATAACTCACAACTATGCATGATTTCGAGAAACTATATATTTGTCTAATTGTCATTCCTAAGCTGCTATCTGGGTATTCTAGGTTTAACACTTTTGGCTAATGAAACCCATATTGAACTTCGTAGCCATTAATTTGGTAGTTGGTTTCTTACTAATCTCTCAATATTTTTTTCTTCCTAATATACAGTGCTAGAGGTATGAGTTTTTTACATGATTCACTCTTTCCACTGATGATTATATCTCTGCAGATGCACAAAATGTGATGGGAAGGGAAAGATTCCTTGTGCAACTTGCGGATCTTGTGGCTTGCTGAAGTGTGGGACATGTCATGGAAGTGGTTCTCTGTTGACATACAAAATTGCCATTATTAAATGGTAAGTATGCCATTATATGTCTTATCATATATATTAAACTCAATGTTGGTGCTTCTTGTCCTCATTTGGATGTGAAACTCTTTTTTTTCTTTTTTACACTTACTTTTGACGGTAACTTCTAATGCTGAAATTCAATCGGCTGAGATATTTTCTTGATTATTGTCTGTGAAATCAGGATATATTTATATGCTAATCACAAGAATTCTCTAGAATAATTTGTGAGGAGGATTCTACCAGAATATCTGTTTTGTTTCTAAAATACCGGAAAGGCAGATCTTACCTGCTAGTTTGCATATGTTGATACTAAGCATATATAGAACTTGCATGTTTACACTCGTGTGCTCACACCCTGTTTAATTATTTGAAAGAATCCTTTTTGTTCATAGGAAGACACTCTCAACTCGAAAAGTAAGTGCAACAAGTGGAGCAGCATCGGTTCCGGACAAGGTTTTTCATAGGGCCAAAGGGGTTCAGTTGTGCAACACCCAAGCATATCAGTGCACTCCAGCCTTTTTTGCCGACTCTTTCTTCCTCAACAAGTTCTCTTCTGACGTTATTGCAGACAGGGCTTCTGTGCCTCCTACTGCCAGGGTCATATGTGAGAGACATACAATCTCAGTTGTTCCGGTGACACATATCACGATGTCTCATCACCGTCAATCTTTCAGTTTCTACATTGTTGGATTCAGCCGGGAAGTGTACTTGAAGGACTACTATCCTGCTAGGTTTTGCTGGGGCTTGTGTCCTTGCCTGGAATGGTTGAAGTCGTAACTAGAAAGATTCTCAAGTTAAAAGAGATTGCTTCTCAATTATTTATGCTACTCGTATTGTGAGTTTTTCGTGTGTGGCTAATAATAAATTGGTTGATTTCTTGTATTCAAGAGATTATAGAGAGTAGTTTCCATGTGACAAATCAAAAATTTTCTCCTCCGAGTCCGCAAAATTCCAATTTCCCTTCACCTTTGTACCTTGGCCAGGGTAAATCAGTGGCGAGAAAAAGCCCAAGCTCCATCAGGCCATCACCAGCAGACACACAAACAGAATGTCATGGCACGTTAAGGTTTGTTTGGTGGTACGACGATGGGAACGAAATGAAATGAAATGTGATCATCAGTTCATGGCTCTATTCTGTTATGTACTTGTCATCAAAATCAGATTCCTTTTGGTACAGAAGAAGAAAGAAACAACTTTTCCAAGTCCACCACCTCGACTTGCTGTAGAAGGCTGGAAAACTTTGACAGACATGTCAGAGCGGAGTCCCATTGTCTCTTGTTTCAGTTTTCTATATCTGATTTTCTGGCAATTTACAAACTTTTTCTCCTAGTTGAAACGCGTGTGGACCCTTAAACTTCAGATTCTCGTATCACTGGATTTTGCGTCCGTTCCAATATTGGCCTATCCAAATCTTTGCGACAACCATGATATATCTATCCAGAAGTTGCATGGGACTTCCGAAACTTTTTTTTTTTTCTCACATTTTTCTCATTGACTGAAACTGTTCTCCAATTTCTACTCAACGTTCATTTTTTATTCCATAGATTTAACGGTTCCTTTAAAGGCTAAAACAAGAAAAAAAAACTCCTAAAGCATTTAAAAACATCCAAGTCTTGTATTATTATTTCATCTAAATAAATCCCTCATATTTTCTCTTTTTACTATTTAAGTTCTTTTAAGACGTGTAAACAATGATATGACAACAAAAAAAAAATAAATATAGCAAAAAATTGCACATGAGTTATACATGTGCTGCCGAAATGTTAAGAAGAGAAATTTTCAAAAAATGGTAATTTAACAAAAATTTTTTAATTGGTATCATTATTAAAAATAATTATAAGAAATAAAATAATAATATATAAAATTAATAAAAAATGTCTATATTTATAGAAAATAATAATAAAAAGAATTAACTATTTGATGCCATAATAAAAACTAATTAGTAAAAAGGAAATGTCTGTATGTAAAAATAATAAAAAATAAATGTTTATATATAAGAATTATAAAAACAAAAGAATTAATTATTTAATAGTATTATAAAAAATAATTAGTAAAAAAAGTTTGCATGTAAAGTTAATAAAAATATATGTTTATATGAAAATTACAAAATTGATTTTAACTTACGTTTTATTAATTTTTGTATAAATATAAATATTTCCTTTTTTTATTAATTTTACATATAAACATATTTTTATTAATAAATAATTATTATATATTATATTTATTAAAATATATGTAAATCAAAGATATTTATTATTTGATATCATGATGAAAGATAATTAGTGAAAAAGAGATGTCTATATGTAAAATTAAAAAAAAAATTAAAATTACTCTTATGACTTTCAATGTATATATGTTGTAAGATAATTATACATATTGTTTGATAAAATGTACATATATTTTGTTTATATGTATATCTATGATAATTACTTGTAATATTGAGATAGCACTCATTAAACATTAAGGTCATAAACGTAATTTAATTTTTTATTAATTTTATGTAATTATCTTTTAATAATTATTTCTAATCATGTTACCAATTAAAAAAAATGTTTGACCATTTTTAAAAAAATTTTCCTTCTTTATACATTTTTGCAACGTGTATGCCACATATATAATTTTTTTTCATGTGTATATATATTTTTTATCACATCATGATTTACACATGTCCTAAAAGAACTTAAATAAAAAAAATAAAAATTGAAGAATTTATTTAGATAAAATAATAGTGTAAAAACTTATACTTCAAAGGCATTTTCATATTTTAGCCTTCTTTAAATTTCAGGTTTTTGCTGTTTTACGTGAATTGCAAATAGCAGTAATTTCACGAAAGTGAAAATGAAATTGTTGAAGGCATCCTGATAAAAACCCCTTTGGCGATTTCGTTTGACTCATTAAGAACAGATAAGTACTCTTTGATGGTTTGAAGTATTCACTGATTTTTTGCACTATTTTTCACTCTGTTCTGCCAGGTACGACTCAAGCAAACCCATGAAAGGCTCAATCTATTATCATTATTTGCGTATGGCTTATTGACTAACCTTTTTTTATATATCCAAAATAAATTTCTTTGACAAATTCTTGTTAATCGTGCTTAAAGTATATCATTTTCCGCCTAAAAGAGTTATTGTCGGCATCATAAGACCAAAATTTTTTTCATAAAAAATTAAAATGTTTTTTACTCACTAAGTTTACACCCTCTAAGATAAGATAAAGAAAAATTATTAAATATTGATTCATATGTAAAATTAAAAAAAACATATTTTTAGAATATATTTAAAAAATAATAACTTAAAAAATAAAATTAAAATATATCTCAATCTCTTAACATTATTTATGAAATTAAAATTTTAAATTAATAATATATCAAATATTAATTCGAAGTTAAATCTATAAAAGTTAGTTAAATTAATAAAAAAATAATTTTTTTATTAATGAGATTCAATTTTTTAAAAAAATTTTAAAAATACAATCTTAAATGTACCGTATTAAAATAAAAAAGAATTTTTTAAGACCGCACTGATAAAAGATTAGGTTTTTAAAATATAAATCCATAACTATGTTTTACAAGCCAGCGGTTGGAACAACGTGTTTGACACATTAATTCATTTATTTTTCCTGAACAAAAAATAAAAACAAACTAAGGTAGCATTCTTGGCCCCCAAAAAAAAACTAAGGTAGTGTAATTATTAGGCGTGGAAAAAATTTTTGTTGGTCCCTTGCGCTTGATTCCCATTTGCCACGCATGATTAGGCTTTGATCACATACGTCACTACCTATTGTACTATTTTTTTCTAAACAAGGTTTGGTGCCTTCAAAGTCAATTATTTTCCAAATCAAAATCGTCTGACTGCATCCTGATTATTGTATAAGGTAAGAAAATCCATCATTTGTGGGAGTTGTTCATGGGTTATCGTAACTTTAAATGCATCTAACCTAGCTATTGATTGGAATATCCAACGGTCGGAAAAAATAAAGAGGAAAAATAAAAAATACAGAATTTTGATCATTGCGCCGACCATGGGAGACATAAAGGGTGGAAGCAGGTGCCACATGTCCTTTTCCGGGTTTTTATTAAAAATTTTAATTGTGGAGAGATTATATTAATTCAAAACTAGATTTTTGCCTTTGGCATGTCGGGTTGATAATTTTTTATCAGATTTTATTTTTAATAATATTTATTATTTATGTTAAAATAATAAATATATTTTTATAATTACTAGAATTAGTTCTCTCGGGGTAGATTAATTATTTTAATATAAAAATAATACAAAATAAAATAAATAAAATATTATAAAAATATTAGAATTTAAAATATATATAGTATTTCATATATTATTATTACAATTTTTATTATTTTTTCATGTTATATTATGAGCACTGTATTTTTTAGTAATTATTTGATCAAAATATATGATTTTTTTAATTTTTGTAAGTTATAAACTTTTTTATAAAAATATTTAAAATAAAAAAGGAAAAAAGTAACTTAATTTTTATTTTTTATTTTTATGTTTTTTATATTTTTATTCTTTATTATTATTATATTTTATTTGATTGTGGATAATAAACGGTAAATATTCAAAACCTATAAAAATTCACACAATTATAATCTAACGTCACGTAAAGACCATATTCTTTTTTTAAAAATCTAATTAAAACTGAACTTATCATATCCTAATCCAATTTAAACCAAACAAACTATAATCTACTAGACTAATAAATTATTAAACTCTTTTACCAACCAATAGCTATTTGATAAATAGAAAGTAATTTGACAACTCAATTATAACTTACCTTTTAATCGAGAGTTGTCCCCACTTTGAGATAACTTTAATTGTACATTATGTTGTTAATCTACGTGTGAAGAATGTATTATTATTCTCACAACATCCATCTAAAAATATTCATTTAAAAAGATATTATTAGCACTCTAAAATGGTTCATCCAAAAATGATATCAATTAGTCTTATATTATCCTAAAAAGATCTTATTTAAATTATTTTTATTCATAATTAAATTCTATTATTTAAAACATTAGAAAGTTTTTAAGTTTTTTTCAATATTTTGATAGAATTTTATGAAAATTTTCTTATCTCACGAGTATTTAAAAAAACTATTCATTTTCTTGAAAAGGCTCTGTAATCGAATTAATTTAAAATTTTATAAAAAAAAGTTTATATTTTTATTTACATTTATTTTTTATTTTACCAACTTTTATTTTTGTTAAAAATTTTACTACAAATAAATAAAATATTTTTATTAGAATCCTTCCAAAATCTTTCCAAAACTTTTGATAAGATTTTAAGACAATTCATCACCTAAGAATTCCAAGCAACATTTGCAATTTTCTTCTAATTTAATTATTAAAAAATGTATCATTTTTTAAATTTACATGATACAAATAAATATAATTACAAAAATTATGAATTTATTTGTTTAACACATTTCTTTAGTTTTTTATATTGTCAAATAATTAAAATATGTTCATTATATAAAATTTTAAGAATGTAAGTAAATAAAAAACAAATCAACAAGCAAATCAATAAATAAAAAATAAAAGAAAATAAAAATACAAAAAAAAAATCAATTGCCATATGTTCAAAAAAAAAAAAAAACCTAAAAGTTCTTTTTCCAAATCATCCCCAATCAATTTATTTTATGCCTTAATTAACCATCTAATCAATTTTTATGTTTCATTTTAAGTGTCTTTGACAATGAAAATTTTCACTTTTTAGGATAACTTTAATCTATTATTATATAGATTGATATAATTAATATAATTATATTTTTTATTTTTTATTTTCATAAAATTTATAGGTGATTGATATTTATTGAATTGATTAAGTGCATATTTCTACATAATTCTTTGCATATTCGATTAAGTGAATAGTAATTTTTTACTTCTTGAAATTTTGTGATATTTTTTGTTTTATTTTGTGACTTCTTATAAAAAAACTAACTTTAAAAAGCGCTTAATTTTATTGAAGGCTTAATTATTTGATTTTTTAAATTTCAATCTTAATTAATTAAAAATAAATAATAACTCAAATTTAATATTTACTAAACTAACCTCAAAAAACATAAGTTAATATCCTAAAGTAAAGTAACCCCAAAAATATTAGTCAAAGTTCCAAATACCCCTTTAGAGTTTAGTTGAAAAGTCCAAACCAACCCTCAAACTATGAGTAAATATCCCAATTAACCCAAAAATTTTAAGTTAAAACTCAAATTCATCCATCAAATCGTTATTTATAACACAACTTAGGTGGTTAAAAATTAAACTTCAATTTTCCATGGGGATAACTTTAACATATTTTATAAAATTATATGGAAGATTATTTTAAATATATTGTATAGATTTATAATAATTTAATATATAATTAAGTTTTATGTAATTAATTTAATATGGATATTATAGTAATTTTTATAAAATATCACATGTCAAATTTCAATAAAGCAATGC